CTACCCTCCCCAGACCCCACTTGTGGGATTTTCCTGGGTTGTTGTTGTTGTTGTTGTTGTTGTTGTTAATATATTCTAAGAGGACCAACTAAACTCCTTAACTTGTTTGCTGTTAATATTAAGATATAAACCATCAATTTTTGCATGCCATTCACATTTATTATTCCCACATCTCTTAGAATCTCTCATATTATCAAAGACAACAAACTGACCATGTGGTCTAGGTAATTTTGTAGCTTCCGAAACCAAAGCAAAAGTAGCATTTGCACGTTGTTTAGGGTCATTTAAATTCACTGGAAAATCATCGAACCGACCTTGTGGAATTGTAAAAACTCCATTGTCAAACCCTTCAATTATACAGTGAGTTCCTAAACGATCTTGCAATTCATTGTGGATTAGTACAATGAATTGTATAGAATAAACTAATGAAGATGAAAATGTAGTCAAAAGAAGGAAAAGTATCGGAGCATTTGCATGCTAATATGTAAATATAATTATCTCCCTTAAATTTCCAATTATGCAAAAATTAGGACGATGTATACGTACCTATGCTTAACTATATATTATGGCAAAGTCATAATGGAGTAAATATTACTTAATTAAGATTCTTATCATTAATTTTGATCTTGTCCTTTTGTCTTTTCTTTTGCTTTGTCAAAATTATAATTAGTTATCTCCCTCTAGTTTTTCCAACTTAATATAAAACAACAACAACAACAACAACCCAGTATAATTTCACTAGTAGGGTCTGAGGAGGGTAGTGTGTACGCAAGTCTTACCCCTACCTTGGGGTAGAGAGGCTGTTTTCAAATAGACCCTCGGCATCCTTCCCTCCAAGAACTCCCCACCTAGCTCTTGGGGTGACTCGAACTCACAACCTCTTGGTTGGAAGTGGAGGTTGCTTACCATCAGAGCAACCCCTTTTTCCAACTTAATATGAGAACTTAAAAAGGATTGTCTGTCCTTTAAAAGTAGTATATTGAAAAAATAATGATTATATTGTGACAGGATTTTTGGTCCTACGAAATGTTGTGAGAGGTGTGACTTAATGTGTAATAAATTAATGGTAGTATAGCATATTTAATATTGGGTAGTAAGATGTACAAAGTCGATAAGTCATTGTCTATAAATAGGGGTCATATGTATAATGTTTGGCAGTTTTAACAAAATCAGTTTCTGCATTTCTTCTTCAGTTCATTTCCTTCATTCCTTCATCTATTCCCTGTCTTCTCAGCTAGGGTTTACATAGCGCGATCCATAAAATTAACATGGTATCATAGCGGTAAGACTAGGAATCACTGGTCTCATGCATCGATTCACATCGCCATTGGAGAATTTGTGAGATTCAGAGAAAATCAATCGCAGAATCGAAGCCTTGTTAGTTAAAATAGAGTAGCCATGGGAGATACTGTTGATAACAACACGACTAACGCCTCCATAGGTGTAGATACAGTATCTGGAGATACTCTAGCTAATGAGGATTTCAGAGTTGATTTGCCTCACAATCATCCATTATACTTTGGTCCTGTGGATACGAGTGGAGCACGATTGATTTCGTTTCAATTAACAGGTACTGACAATTATGATAAATGGAATCGATCTATGAGGATAGCTCTGCGAGGAAGAAATAAGCTAGGTCTAGTAGAAGGAACATGGAAAAAGGAAATATTTCGTGAAAATCTATGGGAACAATGGGAGAGGTACAATGCAATTTTACTCTCATGGTTGATGAATGCTGTAACTCCACAGCTTGTCGGAGGAGTGGTATTTGGAGCTAGTGCGCATACTGATTGGGAGGACTTGCGAGAGAAATTTGACAAAGTAGATTGATCTAGGTCAATCAATCTCCACAAGGAAATTGCAATCCTATATCAAGGTACATCATATGTTTCTGATTATTACATTAAGATGAAAGATCTATGGGATGAGTTTGAAGCTTTAGACCCTGCTCCATGTGATTGTGAGAAGTCCAGAGATTATGTTGCTGTTATAAAGAGACAAAAGTTGTACCAATTTCTTATGGGATTGAACTACTCCTATGCTCATGAAAGGAGTCAAATACTGTTGATGTACCCTTTACCTATAATTAATTAGGCTTTCTCTATGATTATAAGCGATGAAAACCAGAAGTCTATAGCAGCTAAAGTAGGAAATTTAGGATTGACATTACCTATTCCAGCTGAAAGTTATGAGTCATCTGCCCTATACTCATCCAGATCTAGTGGTTTCCAACCTAGATTTCAGCATAATAACTTTCAGCCAAACAATTCTCAACAGCCTGGAAATTACTCTAAGCATAAAAGAACCTACAGTGACTATTGTGACTACTGTAAGAAGAAGGGACACAACAAGGAGTTGCTGGAAGATTATTTGTTATCCACAAGGTGTCAAGTCTAAGAAGAAAGGGGGAGCTGCAACTTACAATATTTGCATTGAAGATCCAAATCAGACCTTCTATAATCAGGTACAGCCATTTATGCTGGTATAGAATCTATCTCAACAAATGTAGACTTCAGCTCAGCCTGGAGTGCAGAGACAACCCTCAACCTCAAGCGACAGCTCATCAAGAAGACAGCCAGTAGCATATACGTTTACTAAGGAACAATATGAACAGATCTTACAAATGTCGAACAAGAGTTCTATAATTTCTCCCTCAGTAAATATGGCACACGCAACATGTACTACTTGTGTTTTCTTAGTGAATAATAAGCCCCCAGAGTGGATCATTAATACAAGGGCTACAAATCATATGGTGTCTGACTTATAGCTATTATCTAAATCAGAAGAGATTAAACCTAGTAATCCTAAAAAGGCATATCTTCCAAAGAGAGATGCAGTCTATGTTACACACATGGGTATTAGTCCAATTTCAGCAAGAAGTATACTAAAAAAATGTCCTACATGTCCCAAAATTCAGATATAATCTACTCTCAGTATCCAAGTCAACCAAGGACTTACAATGTTGTGGTTCCTTTTATCTTGATTTTTGCCTATTTCAGGATCTCTATAATGGGAGGGTGAAGGAGACTGGTAAGGAATATAATGGTCTTTATATGTTTATCCCTCACACAAATAAGAGCAATCAAGAAACAACAATAACAATCAAGGACAGTACAAAGCCGAAGGAGAAGCAGGATATTGACTTGTGGCATAAGAGACTAGGACATACATCTTTTGTAGTATTAAAGAAGTTGTTTCCTGTTAAAACTCAGAATTGTGTCACAACTGTGGATAATTGTCATGAATGTCTATTAGCTAAACATACTAGAATTCCCTTTTCTAGCAGCAGTATTAAAAGCACAAAATGTTTTGATTTGATACTTGAAGATATATGGGGTCCTTATAGAGTGCCTACATTTGATGGAAATAAATACTTCCTAGCTTTGGTGGATGACTTCTCTAGAATGACATGGTTATTTTTACTGAAGCATAAGTTAGATGTATGTGTAGTCTTAAAATTCTTCTTATGCTATGTAAAGACACAACATAGCAAGTGTGTTAACATTATCAGGACAAACAATGGATTGGAACTTTCCAATTCAACTTGCAGTGATCTGTTTAGTGATCTTGGAATGATTCATTAAAGAACCTACGTATATACTCCTTAGCAAAATGGTGTAGCCGAGAGGAAGCACGAACATATTTTAGAGGTTGCTATAGGAATGAGATTTCAAGCTCATATACTTTTGAAATATTGGGGACACTGTGTACTAGCTGTAGTACACATAATCAACATGATGCCTTCTTCTGTTACTAATGGACTATCACCCTTCTAGAAATTGCACAATAGGAAACCTTCATTACAACATATCAGAGTACTACGATGCTTATGCTATGCCAAAATAGTTCAAGAGAAGGACAAGTTTATGTCAAGAGCTATACCAGTAGTGTTGATGGGCTATGCTGCAACTCATTAAGGCTATGTACTCTTAAATCTAACTAATCATTCTTTATTTGTTAACGTGGATGTTGTTTTCAAAGAGACTATCTTTCATTTTAGACATATAAGAAATAAATATCTACTAATATTTCTACATCAGATGTCCCTGCAGACTATACTCAGCTGTCAGGAGTTCCAACAGTTTGTGATGCAAGTCACAGTAGTGAGTATGAGGCTAAGGTGACACATTCAGATATAGGATATGTGCCTAGTAATACAAATGAAAATGTTCACGATAACAATGCTGCAAGTGAGAGTGAAGGAGAATCAATCTTGGCTCCTCCAATTGGAGATAGTCTTGAACAGAGTCAAGTGCAAGCTCCACCTATTCAACAACTACCATTTATCCCCTCAATTGTAGAAGAAGTTAAAAGATCCTCGAGACCATAGGATTTTGTATCATTGAATGTACATGAGGTTGTACCATATGCAATTGCAATCTATGTCTCCTACAATAGCTTGTCCCCTAAATACCAAGCCTATCTTGCAGCCTTCTCCTCTATTGTAGAACCTGCTACATATAACGAAGCCAGTCAAAATCCTAGAAGGGTAGATGCTATGAAGCTGATATTGAAGCACTTGAAGCAATCACACCTGGGACATTGTCTCTCTTCCTGAAAGAAAGGTTCCAATTGGTTGTAAATGAATATATAAAGTCAAATACAAGGCCTCAGGTGAAGTGAAGAGATTCAAGGCTAGGTTGGTAGCTAAAGAGTACGGTCAGAAGGAGGGGATTGATTATCAAGAAACCTTTTCCCCTATAGTAAAAATGGTGACTATGAGGACTATTCTATCAATAGATGCAGCTCAGAAGTGGCGCATTCAGCAAAATGTTTTTCTTCAGGGTGATCTCTTTGATGAGATCTATATGCAATTTCCACCAGGATTCAGAAGCTAGGGGGAGTCTCAACCAGTGTGCAGGCATCGTAAATTCTTGTATGGCCTGAAACAGGCCCCTAGACAGTGGAATGAGAAACTCACAGAAGCTTTATATCAGTTTGGCTTTGTTAAGAGCCAATATGATCACTCTTTGTTAATCAAGTAGACTACTAAAGGCACAATGATAGTGCTGGTGTATGTAGATGACATGCTAGTCACCGGTACCCATCTGTACCTAATTGAAGAGACAAAGACAATACTACAACAAACATTAAAAATGAAAGACTTGGGAGAGTTGAAGTACTTTCTAGGAATAGAGTTTTCCAGATTTGTAGATGGGAGTCTTATGCATCAAAGAAAATATGCTTTAGAGTTTATCTCCGAACTTGGGCTTGGAGAAGCAATAGCTACTCCAGTAGAAGTGAATGCAAAGCTGACTACCAAGGAGTATGATGATCATCTTGGTGCTTCAAGTGATATTGTAGATGAGCTACTACCAGATCCAAGTGTCTATCAAAGACTAATAGGCAAGTTGCTATATTTGATTGTGACAAGGTCTGACTAGGCATTTAGTGTGCAGATGCTAAGCCAGTTTCTACAGCAACCAAAGAGTTCACATGTGGAGGCATCAATCAGAGTTGTTAAATATGTCAGGAACCATCCTGGACAGGGCATATTGATGTCCAACAAATCCACAGGCACATTGGAGGCATTCTGTGATGCAGATTGGGTTGTTTGTCAACATTATAGAAGATCTGTAACATGATTCTTGATCATGCTTGGTGGTTCTTTAGTGTCTTGGAAGTCTAAGTAGCAGACAAGAGTATCTAGAAGTTCTATTAAAGTATAATACAAGTTTGGCAGCCACACTTGCTGAATTAGTTTGGCTAATGGGGTTGATAAAGGAGATGTGAGTTGAGGTTTGATTACCTGTGAACATTTACTGTGATAGCAAGGTAGCAATACATATTGCAGGAAATTCAGTATTTCATGAATGAACAAAGCATATTGACATAGATTGTCATTTTATAAGGGAGAAGATATTGGAAGGTCTAGTTGCGACTAAGTATGTTAGGACAAGAGAACAACAAGCTGATTTGTTGACAAAAGGATTAAGCGAAATTCAACACGAGTACTTGAGTTTCAAGCTAGGTGTGTTTAATGTATTTACACCACCTAGCTTGATGATTGATGAAGATAAAGTATGAAATAATGTCTTCTTTTGGCAGGATTAAGTAAGAGATTTAGCCATTTTATTTCTAAAAAATAGACTTAGTTGAATAGTAAAAACTAAGAATATTATTAGGCAAAGATCACTTTTAGCCTGCGGCCAAAATTATTTATATTCTCCGTTTTGGTTTAGAGCCCATACAAATTTAAAACACGTTATTAGTGTTTAAAAGCTTGTTTCATTATGTACCTGTATACGGTCGAAATCAGGTATGCCCGATTTCTCGGGGTCGAAGGGTCACCTTAAGCTCGAACTCAGGTAAGATCGAGTTCGAGCTCGATGGATCAGACTCGAGATCAAAGATAGAGTGCAATGACCGAGGATCGAAGTGTACGATGGGTATCAGAGCTAAGTACAACCGACTCTGAGATGGTGCTGTTATGAGTTTGTTACAGTATGGCAAGATTCCTGCCACGTCCTCAAGATCATGGCGTAAATCTTGGAATAGATTTGTACGAATCTGTACTAGACAGTTAGATAGCTATCCCAATAAGATTCTTTACCGTAAATAGAAATATACCTTATTTAGGGTTCCCCTATTATACAAAGGGGACCCCAATCATTTGTAAAGATCATCTAATCATTGGCAAAGAATATACTCTCTTACTTTTTCGCTCATTGTACATCAAAATTATCCTTTAGCTTTATTATTCTTTCTTTATTGTTCTTAATCCATCTCGAGGTCGCTTTGGCTCGAGGTCGATACTGCCTAGAAACACTGATTTGATTCACTCATTTCTTTCATTTATACGTTATATTTCTTTATTATTAATTATATTGAATTAAATCACGTATCTTTAAAATTACAAATCAAATTTAATTGTTACTCGTATTTTCGAGGTAAACAGTCTGGCGCTAAAGATAATAGTGACTATTTCTTTATTGATTCTCATAACACACGATATTTGTACACTTTTTCTTGTCAAGAATTTTTGATTCTCAGGCTGAAACATGTCTGACTCGCAAAACACACATGTACACGACAACGATGGTCTAGGATTTCATGGGAAAAACAATAATATAGGGGTCGACGTACCACCAATAAACCCTGGAGAAGTGCCAAATATGGAACCAGTTGATGTTAGTTCACACATTGCTCTGAACAAGGATTTAGGCACAGACACCAGAGGGAATGTACGCAGGGAACCTCGATCTGGTGGCCAAGGAATGCAGGGTATGGCATTAGTTGATGTTAGTTCACACATCGCTCTAAACGCCGATTTAGGCATAGACCCCGGAGGGAGTGTATGAAGGGAAGCCCGATCAGGTGGCCAAGGAATGCAGGGTATATGAGATGGGGGAGTCGGCCTCCAAGTGAAATTCGAGATGCTATAAGCTTAATAGATTTCCATCGCTCAACTTCAAAGTCAAAATAAAACTCCGAGTATAGCCGAACTAGAAAACACTCGATGTGCTTAACTGGAACTAGAGAGATCAAACGGTAGTGGCTCCGGGACTGACCCCACAATTATGAGGATGCTCGAAGATCTCACAAAGAGGATTGAATCCGGGAAAAAATGATTGAGGATAGTGGCAAAAAGGTGGAGACTTATAACTCCCATGTTGATTAAATACCAGGCCCCCGGTCTTGAAAGGTTTGGATGCCAAAAAGTTCATACAGAAGTCGTTCCCTCCGAGAGCGGCTCCGAGGCCTATTCTTAATAAGTTTCGCATGCCCAATATACCCAAATACAATGGGACAACCGATCCTAACGAGCATATTACTTCATACATTTACGGGATTAAAGGAAACGATTTAAATGATGATGAGATCAAATCAATATTGTTGAAGAAGTTTGGGGAAACTTTGTCAAATGGAGCCATGATTTGGTATCAAAACTTTCCCCCGAACTCTATCGATTCGTTTGCTATGTTAGTATAAGCCTTCATAAAAGCGCATGTCGGGGCGATAAAGGTGGCAACGAGGAAATTGAATGTTTTGAAGATAAGACAGAGGAACGATGAGATGTTAAGGGATTTCATATCCCGATTTAAAATGGAGCAAATGGAATTACCATTGGTCTCGGATGACTGGGTAATGCATGCTTTTATGAAGGGTTTGAACGAGCGGAATCGATCGCGTCTCAATAATTAAAGCAGAATCTCATCGAGTATCCAGTTGTGACGTGGTCAGACGTGCATAATTGTTACCAATCAAAGATCAGGGTCGAGGAAGACTAGTTGGCAGCCCCCTCAAGTTTAGTTCATCCTATTAGATTGGCAACTAAACCCCCGAGGGATACAGATAGGGAATCAAGATCAAACAAGGAACGATATCATCTATATGTAGATCAGCAAAACAACAGCTCGGGGTGTAATGCTCTTTGGAATGATCGTGGTCAAAGCTCTCGGGGACTCATGAGCAAGAATGGGTTCAATAAACATACTGACCCCACGGAAGAACCTCGATTATCGGAGTGTTTAGATGCTGATCGCTACCTACTCTGCACTACCAAAAAGTAAGAAGAGATGGTCGCAATAGCTTTTACCCGATTTGTGGGTCGGGAATAATTTCCACAAGGAGCTAGGAATGGAGTCGAGTATCTATCTAGATTGGGATTGTGTAATTGTTCCAAATGTCACTTCCAAACATCTTTTGATTTTTTTGTAACAAACTAATATTATCAATTACTAATTAGAACTAAATTATGCTAATGAGAAAATTGCTATAGTTGTATCTAACGAGTAGAAAGGCACGAGGGTAGTGACTTTCACCTAGGTGGCTAATTGGCGGGTAAATGCTTCTAAGGCTCGATTGACATGATTGAGGAAATATGCTATAACCGTTGCACAATTTTACCCATTCTCACACCTCTCGGTAGAGAGAGTGATTTTGACCAATTGACTCTCCCGAGATCAAATGGGTAGGCAAATTAGGTCAAGCAACTAGGGTTCAAGTCGGGTAATTTCTCTCTCGAGGTTTAACCCTTTAATTGGGACTATCAATTTTCTTGAGTCCGTCCCAATTCCTTGTTAGGTCAATTTTGGAGACTTAGGCTCTCTTTCTCAAGAAGAGCCAAGTCAACTTAGCACAAACAAGTGTTTGCATCCACCAATTCATAGATTAAACCATAAAATTGACCCAAATAACAAACACTCATAGTCGATCTAACCTTAAATTACAACACCCATCAATTACCCATACTAGGGTTGAGCCACAACCCTAGCTAATGGGTTTAGCTAATCATGCTTTAAGAAGAAAATAGAGAAATAGATGAAGAACAAGACTATTAATTAAAAGCTAATGTAAATACAGATAATCTATCGTTAAATCTAAGTTAAGATGCCAAAAATGGCTACACAGTAGCTTCTCATGAGCGCAGCTTTGTTTTGGATTTAAATGATACCCTAAAAATGGAAAAATGTTCTATTTATACTGAACTGGAAAATCTGGACAAAAATGCCCCTGCGGGGTCAGTGCGGGCCTCACAAAATAGACTGCGGCCGCACTAGGCTCTTGGACTTGAAGTCTTGTCTCTCTGAACTCAGGCTCCGTGGACCGCGCAAAATGGACCACGGTCGCAGAGGTCTCTATTGTGGTCCACACAAAAATGACCGCGGACTGCGCTGGCTTGATCCTTGTCAAATTACATCTCTCTGATCTTCTCTTCCGCGAACCGCACATAATGGCAATGCAGCCGCAGAACCTTCAGTGCGGACCGCGCAAGATCGAATGCAACTTCACTGCCTTGAAGCTCGATATGGTACTTGAGCAGGTTTCACTCCTTCTTAGCCGATCTTTGACATTTCATCACTTTGTCGATCAAACTTGCAATCAAGCACAACTTATGAGCCTTTTGAGACTATTTTGTAAGAATTTATAATCAAAGCGTAAGCAGGAAGGAGCATAAAACACGTCGAAATTCCTAGTTATTAACTCCCCCAAACTTAATCTTTTGCTTGTCCTCAAGCAAACAAAATAACACCCACCCCTTAAGGGAAAATCCAAGTATTTTCAGCTATCCTAAAGTAACCTCAACAACATCAATTGGGGTTAACTATTTCCCTCGATGTGAATGAATCATTAACAACATTTAACCTTTGATAAACCATGGATCAAGTGTGACACAAGAACATCAAGAGTTGACTTATTACATCAAAGAACTCTCTCAATTACTTCGGTCATTGTGGAACCCAAACTCTCATATCCTCAACTCTCCCTAAGCAAACCTCACCTTTTAGAGTATTAGCACATAAACCGAGGTAAATGGAAATTCACTCATCTCTCTCAAGGAAAGGTCACAAGTCCGGCTCTAAGTACCATATGCTTTCCCCTCATGTAAGTATCCACTAATGCAAGCTTCATTCAACTCAAGATCATATAGAACTTTTGTGGAGTCATTGTGAAGGCTTTTAGTTCAGGGTAGGACATGTTTAGATCTAAGTGGGTTCCATCTTCCCTTAAGCACTTCTTTTGATTCATTTGGTACAATTCTCTTGACTCTTTGAGTCATCTTACTTCTTTCTAAGGGGTAAGAGAGATACACTGTCACTCTTTCTCATGCAATTCAAAACATTTCTCCTTTTTTCAACTT